ATTGTCCGGTGTAAACCCTAAGTTAGATATGGCAGTAAGAATGCAAGGCGCATCTATGCAATACACAATACAAAGAGAGGGTTAAAAGGTGTTCGCTCGCGGTGATTTTGCGTTCAACTTTTGCTTTCACGCAGAGTTGCACGAAAAAAAAGTTGAATGGCTAAATGTTGGCTGGCGAACAACTTTGTTGAAAGCGATTAGTTGAAAGGCAGTTCAACCAAAAGTAGGAGGTAAAGTTGTTGAACAATGCAAACGCCTTTCTATGGCGAATATTTTGATATTTTTTTATATTTTGTTTTTTTTTTTATATTTTGATATTTTTTGCCATTCAATAATTTGTCGTGCAACCCTGCGTGAGTTGAACGCAAAAGTTGCCTGAAAAATCGCCGCGTGCGAAAGCCCTATTAGCGGTATCACAATCAGCGCCGCCTGCTGTATTTTTTTACCATGCGCCAGTGATGGAAAAGTAGGCACAATAGTGCCATTTTTGGCATTCAAAACTGGTCAAAATGTCGCACTGCCATTACTTTGTATATAGGTATGTATAAGTTTAAACAGATCCGAATAGGTATATTTCAGCGTTTTCCCCCTTCGTAATTGGAATATTGCATTTTTTTTCACAAGTACAAAGTTAGAACTATGACAACCGAAGTCTTAAGCATGTATATCGTGTTATTATACTATGATTTTACTCTAATAATTCAACGAAGTACATTAAAAATACTATTTATAAAAATATATGTGTGGTTCTTAAGCTGTAAACACATAAAGGGCTTTTGGTGTGCAGCGTGCAGCCTGTCTAAATAAAATACGTGTAAACTATAGTTGCGTTCCAGATGCTTCACGATTTGCAGGTTTTTACAGGAAGCCTTTCCTGGTTACCACCTACCATAAGGTTTATTAATGGAGAAAACAGCTGTTCCTGCAAATCCTGTAAAACCTGCAAATCGTGAAGCATCTGGAATGCAACTTATATGAATTGAACACAGTCCACAACACAAGCCCAGGCTGTCGTTTGATTGCACGCCGAGTTGTAGCCGAGCAATTTCTATTTTCTCATTTGACAGGTGTGCATACATTTCGCCTCAGTGTTGGGAAATGAAATTGTACCTTCCGTATGAAATCTATACAAAAACTGTATTTTTGACTGTAAATTATATCGACTTTTTGATTTGCTCATATATTTTCTTAGTACATGCACATACATTCCCCTAAAGACCAATGATTTGATGGCCCGAGAAAGTTTACTTGTTCATGTACATACATTTAAACTTTTAAAAATTGATTAACATATATGAGTAGTCCACTTGCAAACCGCGCTATGTAAAATTTTTTCGATTTTTAGTTTTTAGTTTACCAAAAACATTTCTAAGCCATTCTTAATAGAAAAAAGAGGCATCTTCTTTGGATTGGGTACTAAAACTGGCCATAGCATTTCATTACAGGGCTCTTACACGATATGTATTTGCACATGTAAATGCTACTTTTTGCATGTACTCGTATTAATCATATATTTGAACGCTCAGAAAAGTAGCATTACATATGGAAATACATATCGTGTAACTGCGCTCTTAGTAATATTAATATTATGGCAATATTCCTAGCTACAGTGCTTATCAAATCTTTACGACACCACCATATCGACAATATTTGACTATTTATCTTAATATAATTTAGTTTTAATTATTTGTTTATAAAAGTACAGTTTATACTTTAACAAAAATCGTATAAATCCAAGGTGCAATTTTCGTGCAACATTAAACAAAAATCAATAAACTATCGTTAAAGTTTCGAGCTTTTTTTAATCTTTTTTAAATATTTGGAGTATTCAGTTTTCTAGCCCATTCGATAGGCTTCATAGTTCTGAAAAATTAGTTAATTATTCCAGATGTTTCGCTTTTCCATGTAAAAATTAACAAGTTCAAGCTTTAACATGCAAACAACAAACATAACAAATAAGATTCTGTGTAAATTTTTTTCATTTGTGTTAAGGCCTCTTCTGTTACAAAAAAATCAAGCTACCAATGGACAAAAACGATGGATAAATAAAGAAGGAATGAGTGGTCAAATAAAAAAAGCACACAGATCTGTTTTATGAAAAATTAGCAGGAAATAATGTTACTCATACGCCATGCCATGTACACCTGAGTAAAGAGTGAAATACACCACACAAGCGGTTTGACAAACCAAGCGAAATTTCCCTTTGCTTCAAGCCATTTGTGCTGTGTATGGGGGTGTTTGAAGGTTTGACAAACCGCCGTCAAACCTTCAAACACCCCCATACACAGCACAAATGGCTTGAAGCAAAGGGAAATTTCGCTTGGTTTGTCAAGCCGCTTGTGTTGTGTATTTCGCTCTTAACTCTCTTTTCTGGTTATTCATTTCACCACAGCTTAATTTTTTTGTAAAGGAACAGGTTTTCATGCAAAATAAAAAAATTCAGAAAAATCTTTTTTTTTTTTTTATTCCCCTGTTAAAATGTTAGTTTTTTTCATTTTTTCAAAAAAAAAAAAAAAATGTGGAACTATTAATTAGTCGGCCTTTCGAAGAGTGATGTATTACGGTTTATGGAGAATTTGGTTATCTTTACTTCGTATTATGACTGTTCAATTGGTTCGAAAGATATACATACGTGATTAACTGGAACCACTCTTTTCTAAGCTGAATAACGGTAAATTGCAAATATCTCAAAAAGTCATCCATTGAGAAAAAAATGCACTTGTTTTTCGGAATCACTGAGCAATTCCACATAGGAATTGGATAGTGGCATGGGGTGAACAAATTGAAGCTAATTTCGACATTTTGTTTTAAGATTTACAAATGCAAATTCGAAAAAGTCGAAAAAAGGGAGTAAAAAATTTCGCGCTGTGAATTTTTAGAGCTATATATTTTCAGTATTCACAACAAAATTGTACTGAAAAGATTTGCGTACTAGTAAAGTATATTGTGAAAGAAATTGTATCAAAAAAATACAATTGTTCAAAAAATGCCAACACCGTTTTTCTTGACTTGACGCTCTCATTAGTTGCGTTCCAGATGCTCACGATATTCACGATTTGCAGGTTTTTTTTTGCAGGAAAGCATTCCAGGTGCCAAAAAAACCTGCAAGTCAAACGACTTTTGTGAGAGTAACTTTCTCTCTCTCTCAGTCATAAGTTGTAGGTTTTAGTCCGAAGTTTTTCTGCAAGTTCATGAAAAGTGTCAAACGATAGGTAGGTTTGCATTTGTAAACAAAAACAGATAGCAAAGAACATTAAGCGCTACGGAGACAATCAAATAAATAGGTCAATCATTGCATATGTGTGAGATTGGCTCGTGTCTTGCCCGCAAACGCTCGAATAAACGCGTTAATTCAACAAACAATTTCTTTTTCTTGTCCGCGCACTTGCTCCCCACGACGATCAGAAGGCAAGTGCGCTTGTTTTTTGTCAAGCAAAACCCGAGACGATTGATAACTATATTTGATCGTCTCCATGGTGCTTAACATTAAAAAAAAATGGAAGTAGTTACAGGAAAAGTGTTTTTTCCCGTTCCAGGTGACTTTTATTTTTTCTCTCTTGCTCCTCTCCTTCAAGAGAGTAATTTTGTTATTTAACAGTTTTACAGGTTTTTACACGAAGTTCTCTGGAACGCAACTATTAAAAAATTACGAGCCGTGCACGATAGGGTTGTGGAACGCAATTGCAAATATTGCCACACACCACAAGCCGTTTATGTGTTTACAGCACTAAAAAGCCTTAAAAGAAAGCAATTTCAGTTTTGTGACACTTTCATCTCCTTCTTGGAACTATTTTTTCAGATCATTACACATTTTAAAATTTTGGAATTCCATCCCTGCCATGCGCATCTATGGATGTTTAGATACAAGTTTGGCGTTGTGATGGCGTTGGCGTCGTTTCGATAGCTGACTATGAATACATGCATTTATATGAAAGTCTCCACATAACCAAAGTTGGGCAACGCTAATGCAAGGCCAAGGACTGTCACTCCAGCAACACTCCCCAAAAAGTCTTTGGGGAATTTGTATGCTGCTATAACAACAACAACAACGCTAATGCAAAAGTAAAACATAAATATGGCCAACTCTCAACTTTTCGCGTGCGTCGTTCGTCATATGTTCCAAATAGTTAAATTTATGTGAAACAATTTTATTTTTAATCAAATGCGGATAAAAAATATAGTTTTTAATGCAATTAATTAATTAATTAATTTTTTTGTCGATTACTGGAGCCCTCAGTGTTGCTTACTACACTGTTGCCACTCATCAATGCCTTTTCATAAACTTACCCTTTCAACTAAAATTTTTCGTGCTATAGTAGATTTTAGCTAAATATAAACTACTTAGTTTTAAACAAAAACCTTATTCAATAGTAAATTTCAAATATTTTAAACATATTTTGAATAGGAACTTATATCTTTTTTACCATCTGTAAAACTGAAGAAGTGGCAACCATCTAAAGAAGGAGAAATCAGCTGACACGGAAAAATCTAAATTCCGCAGATTTCTGCGCTACGGGCTACAACTACAGAAAAACTCTGCGGTGTTGAGTTTTCATTTACATGGTGCTTTGGTAAGACAGATCGTGTCAGCTGACTCGGGTTTACGTACCGGTAGGTTTACGTTCTTGACTAATTTCAGCTTCACTCCAGCCACACTCCCCAAAAAGTCTTTTTGTATGCTGCTAAAACAACAACAACAACGCTAATGCAAAAGTAAAACATAAATATGGCCAACTCTCAACTTTCGCGTGCGTCGTTCGTCATATGTTCCGAATAGTTAAATTTATGTGAAACAATTTTATTTTTAATCAAATGCGGGTAAAAAATATATAGTTTTTATGCAATTATTGATATAAAATTTTGATTTATTTGCCGCTAGTATGTAAATTTAGTGACCAAAGTATTCGCAGCTAAGCGTTCGTTTTAGCAAGCACGGGCGTTACTCGCACTCCTGTCAAAGCGACGCCAATGCCATAACTCCAACGTAATGCCATAGTTGTATGTGGACGGGCCTTTATAGGTGCGCCTTGAATTCGCCTCGAATTTATGTTTGAATTCGCCTTAGTAAACAAATAAAAAAACAGCTGTTTCTCGTAAGTTTATTGTCGTAGTTTTCATGTAAAATGTGTCGTTTTACGCTTCATCGCATATTTTAGAAACGATATGAGTTTTGCAAATAGCAGCACAAACTACTGTCCCCGTTGTGGAATTCTTGTTACAGAGAATGCGAATCGATTGGTCACTGATAGCTGTGGTCACCGAAAATGTCGCCAATGTCTACTTGCTGATGATGAGTGCATGGAATGTCAACTGCAACAGCGCAATGATTTAAACAATATAACAAGCCATTCTATTGACGCCGATATAGTAACAGAGGCAGAAGCTGCTCCAGTGGAGAAAAATGACATTGTAGTTAAGACTTCCAAAAAGAAAGGCAGAAAAACGGTCGCCCTGCCAGCGCATATTCGTCAGGAAGAAAATGATTCGAACTCTGGTGTGCACTACCATTGTACAAAATGCGACAGAAAATTTACCAGTCGCTCACAGCAATATTACCATTTAACATGTGGTAGTAATGCTTCTAAGAAGTACAAGTGCCTGCAATGTGATAAGGTCTGTACTAAAATTGTGCTTAAAATTGTATGACTTTGAATCCATATATTTGTAATTGCAGGCTTTTGCTACGAGTTCTCATTTTAATTATCATATGGAAACGCATGCAGAGCATACATACTTTTGTAAAGAATGCAACAAGTCTTTCACGAATCGGATGGTGCTGCGGAAGCATGAAAAACTTCATTATACTGCACCATTAAAGTGCAGTGAATGCAATAAAGAATTTCGTAGCAAAGAATCTTTGACCGCCCACATCAGGAAACTACACGATGATAAAGATTTGCCTTACAAGTGTAAAGAGTGTCAGAAAAGCTATGCTTTGAAGGCTACTTTAAAACAACACATCCAAAAGCACTTTGGTAAGTTTCTTTGAGAGTGTTAAAGGAATATACTTACATATATATATGTATAAATCTTCTACTTATAGATAAAAGATTTAAATGTCAATACTGTGATAAACGATTTCAACGCAACTATACACTTAAATTACACCTAAAAAAACATACAAAGACTGATTGTTTTATTTGTGGCATTTGCATGCATAAATTCAGTGATTCAGCAGTTTTGCTGCGTCATGTAAAACTTCATCAAGGTAAAGTAAATTGCTGATGCACCAGTAAAATATTGACATTAAGGAGAGTTAATTTACAGATACTATCAAATACCATTGTACGGATTGTGATGTTACCATAATGCGCAAGGATAATATGTTGAGGCATATACGCACAATTCATCCAGAAAAGAGCTTTGAAAATTGTGTGAAGATAACACTACCAACCCATAACAGCTCCAATTCGCACGAAAAAATTGAGGCAGGAGACCTTTCCACAAATATGACAGCTGTTGTAGAACCACAGACTGTCGAGAACAGCGCCGTCATCAAATGCATTGGAAATGTTGCGCCAATGAAAGTTCCAACTTGTCAGATTTCCCTTGATAACATCCAGGAATTGAATATTGACCCCACTGAAGTGGATGTTAATACCAAGGCAATCACGAATGACTCAACTCTTACGACATTGCAAAACGTGACATTGAATGCTGGTACTGACACAAATGGAAGCTCTAAAAAAATGAAAGTCAAAAAGAAGTATGACCCAATCAAAATGTATCGTAAGATTTTGGCCTCGGACTGTGAGGATGAAAGCGAAAGTGAGAGAGAAGAAACATACGTCAAGCAAAAAACCGCTGATAACTTGGTTGCCAGTGTTGATATGGCACCGTCATTAGAAAGGCGTGTGGCGCTTAGTACGTCAAATTTCAGCGAGATGCACTGGCGCAAAAACTTTAAATATACGTATGAATATCAGGACTTTTAAATTGTCGCATGATTTTTAGGCAGAACAATGTTCAGGTCTATCACAGAATCTATCATAATCCGATTTTTTCGTGAAATATACGAAAATGCCATCACTGAATTTGAATAGCTACTTTTAAAACAAACGTTAGTTCCAAATCGGTGATCGCATTTTCGAAGATTTCACCAAAAATCGGACTACGATGGATTCTGTGATAGCCACCGTTATATTCCATACTCATACTTACATATGTACATATGTATGTATGTATATTCAAATAGCAATATTATTGCTCTTTTATATTCTTTACAATAACAACTCAACGCATGCGAATAAAACAATTTATTATAAAGAAAATAGTTTGGCTCAATGCCATATGTTTGATGTATTCTTTGACGGGTAAGAATGCAAAGATCGAAAATGCACGCAGAGGTAAACTTTGGCATTGACCGTGAGTAGGAACATGTGACGTTTCCGTCATTGGTATATTGTCTATTCCTCGTATATTCTGAAAAGTTTATACACGTTTCTTTCGTTAAAAGGTATTGTAATCAGTTTAAAATATTTACCATTCGTGATGGAGAGTGCACTCGAAAGTTTTTATTACGAGTCAACAACTGAGCCCATGGCCGATGCTGCTGCGAAAGATTGGCGAAAATGGCTTGCACTAGGCGAATCACTTGATTTTGGTCAACGGTGCAGTTTAATGTGGATCTGGCCCACAGAAGATGAGTTACAAAAATTGGGTTCGGTACTAAAGGTGAACAAAATTGTCCATATACTTAGTGTAGGCTGCGGCAGTGGATTACTTGAATGGATAATCAAAGAATGTTTAGGTATGACATCAAATTCATAAAAAAATACTTTAAACATAGTTTCCCTATCAAATAGGTATTTCTGTCAGTGGTATTGAAATTGATCGCGCCTGGTGGGAAAGCAAATATGCAATTAAAAGTTTTATCAACCTAAATTATATTGAAGATTTGAGCAACAAAGAGAACATACAAGGAGATTATCTTCAAAAGTGTTGCAATTTGCAAAGTTGGAACTTTGCGCTAATGTTTTGTTACTTTAATAATCATTCTGCGTTCCTCAACTACCTTAACATGTACAAAGGAAATAGTTTGTTAATTATCGGACCCAAGGTTGGAATGGGAGTGTTTACCGATCCTTTGCCACTAGAACCGCAACTTCCTGAAGGTCTTAACTGGACACTAAAATCTACGCTAAACATTGGCAGAAGAGACGTTATAGCTTTTTATACGAAGGAGATTTAATGAAGTCAAATATGTCGGGTTAAATTAAATATATATTGTATTAGTTTCTATTTATATCTATATGGAATTTACAAGCAGGAATAGTTTGCACTTCAGCAGTCACGGTACTATTTATACCTAAATTCGTCAGCGCCCCTCGAACCAGACCACAAGTGAAAAATACGAACTGTAATAGAAACGTATTAACTTTGTCCAACATATAGTGTAATTGCAAACCTTAGGCGCGTGCTCCAATTGCTTCGAACCTGTCGATATTCGTGTAAGAAATCGAAATGCCTTATCTTGTACCACGTACATGCCGTGATTATTGGTACGCAGGTTATCGACCTGTTTCTTATAGATAAGTGTCCAAAAGTCAGTGCATATAAACTTCATTGTCTCCAATTCGTCTTTGAATCGTGGAACATCACGTGTTAAACGCTCAATAAGCCGATATCCCGTGTTGAATCCAATATACTCCAAGGCTGAAAAATCGTTCTCCTTTTGTGAAAACGTAGTGAGAGATATAAAAGCTGTGTATGTTAATGTTAGGTATATAACTTACTTTGTTATTATTACTCAAGCAATAATTAACAATTTCAGCATGCAAAAAATCATATAATATGTCCTCTGACATTTTAGAGACTGTGCAAGATGAACAAATAAAAATTTATAAAAAATAAACAACTTTGAAACAGCTGACTGCAGACGAATTTTTTTTTTTTTTTTCGTGGCTTTATGGACTCTGTAGTCCAAGATTGTTGGCAGTAATACTGTAATGTATATGCCAGGTTATACAAGAGTATTGAGGAGATCCGTTGATTCTTGAAGTCTCCCGCTATCTCCGAGGTTCTTCCTTTGATGCTCCTTGCTGTGCCGAATATGGGTGGAGGTGTTGGTGTGCTTTGACAAAGAGAAGATACACAAAACAGATACAAAGACAAAACGATTACATTGAACATACAGTTTCTCTAATGCAAACAGATATGCATTGAACATACAATTTTTTTTTTTTTTTTTCTTTTATTTATTTACATTTGTACATCGACATGTAGCATAGTTTACACGTAAGTCGGAGCCCGTGGCTTGTCTTTTTAAAGAAGAACCGATTATATATTAATATAACATATTGATCGGTCCGATAAGTTTACAATTATTATTATTATTATTTTTTTTTTTTTCCTTTTTTAACGTTATTGCCATATAAAAAATGTTTATTGTTCAGGTACTTTAGAAATTTATACATCAACTTAATTTTTTTTTTTTTTTTTTTTATAAGTCTATACTCCGAAAAGTAATAGAAATTAGGCATCCGTTTTTGGAATGAACAAAAAAGCGAAGGATTGTTTATGTCCTTTACGCCTTGATCAGTCTTATATAAGGTTAACAAAGTTTTTAGTTTTCTTGTCTTTAAATTGAGCGATTGAGTTGTTTGGCGATTCTTTTTTTTTTTTCCCCCTTTTTTCCGGTCTCTATGTTTTTTTTTTACATATGCTTTTCTTGATAATTATGAAAAAGGTGACATAAATAACTTATGTATGTATTTGTGTACATATTTTTTTTTTTTTTTTTTTTTT